GGGGGGGGGGGGGAGTTTTATTCCATTTATTTATGTCGTTGTCCAGTAGGTTGACGGTTATAGGATGTGTAGTTTGAGATGATTTTGTAATGGTCATGTGTTGGACCATATACTTGACATATTCAAAGTTATATCATTGAGCTTCTACCTTGTAGGTGGTCGGTAAATTCCATTGTGTCGTTCGGGTTGTGGCATCATTTCCTTGGATAGTTGAGGATTTTCGCTCCCCTTCTGGCGTTTATAGGATCAGGTTAACCATAGAGGATCCTACTGCCAGAATCCGCGCCTATCTATATGCTGAGGATGCGGTACCATTTTTCTTTATATTCAGTTTTAGTTCCAATTTATGTTGTGAATATCTCAGAATGCTTCATTAGGACTTTTGAATGGTATTATCCTAATGAAAAATGCTTTACGCTAAACTTCATAGCAGCTTATTTTGGTAGATATGTCTTGTATTGTCTTTAATGAGATGGTTGATTAGGTATAGATTGAACTTTTTGGTTGATTTGGCTTTATTCTACATCAACTTTTCCATTCAATAATATGCAAGGCAGTATATGTTTATTGTGCCCAGGCTGATAATTCTAACTTCCGTTTACTTCATTTACCCAGGAACAGTTCTTTGGTGGCTACCCTTCTCTCGATGTGCTAAGAAGAATGCGAAATTTGTTGCTTGGAATTTCTGAAAGTGGTGGTGATAGTGAAAGGAATGAAACTTGCAGGAATCCACCCTGGATAATGTGTTGCTTGAAATCCTATCACATTAATGACAGTGATATCTGGGGAAGCAGGAACTTTCGAATTTTTGCAACCACGCTGAAGATGTAAGCAAGTGAAACTTGTATATTTACAGTGTATATGTAAAGCGCCAAACATGTTGCCTCCATGTGACCAGGAGCGTGGAAACAGCCTCTTGCAGAAATGCAGGGTAAGGTTGCGTACAATAGACCCTTGTGGTCCGGCCCTTCTCCGGACCCCGCGCATAGCGGGAGCTTAGTGCACCGGGCTGTCCTTTTATGTAAAGCGCCAAACATTTTTTTTTTTTTTTTTTTTTTTTTGTAAATGTGGTGCATGGTGCTGGTTTTTGCAAAACTATGTATCACCCTTTTTGGCTTTATAAGTATCTTATTCCTGAAGCTCAGAATACTGAAAGTAACCAAATGTATTTTGCTTGTAAATGTTAGCAGTTACCTTTTCTGTACAAGTACGCTTCAAAGTTACTCCGTAGTAAATATTTTGGTGCTGAACAATTCCACATTGAATGTTGTATCAGAACTCGAAATGATTATCTCTCTTGCTATTGGGTAGTTTAATCTTCTTTTCTGTATAAGCGTCATGGTTAGGCGTTGGATCTTATACATGATTTTGCAATTCTTGCTTAGTTAACAAGTTAAGTATTCACACAATTTCTCACCTAAGCAGGATAACTCCTTTTCATTTTGACGTTTTGTAATATTGGTATATTAATATATGTATATATATTTATATATAATTGTTAAATGGGACATCCTTCTGGATACTAACACACCTTTTTTGTCCTACAAGAGCAGTTAAAACTCTTTCTCATTACATTAACATTTCCGAACATAGTTTGCCATGACAAACAAGAATAATGAAGATAATTTGCCACGAATCGCTAAATATGAAAAAAAGAAGAAGCTAAAACACCAATTTTCCTAGGACGTGCGTTATAAAACTTATTCCAGAACTACCCCATGCACAGTTACAGTTTTATCATTCAGTATTAGTATATAGCAATAGATTTCTAAATAGATGCGCATATCTATAGTACTAGATCATATGACAATGATAAGAGCAATTCACTTTTTCTTTTACATGAAAACATTAACCCAAGTGACTAAACGGATTCCATTTATCTACTAAGTAATACTCCAATAATTATGCTACCCCACTGTCAAGAAATAGAGTTCAAGATACAATGCATACCTAATGTTTAGTGTGAATTCGAATCCTTAGTTTTTTGACAGAATACTAATCTATTTAGTAATTACTTAAAAGTTCCTTGTAATAGTATCTCGGTTAAAAGAACAATTTTAGTAGGAAAATAATTTCAACGGTAGGAATGTAGTCCAACTTTGCAAAATGGGAAATTACTTAAATAATGTATTTAGTAATAGTATCTCGGTTAAAGCAACAATTTTAGTAAGAAAATAATTAAAAGTCCAATGATGCATTTCATTCAATATTACTAAATTGTAGTAGTTAATTAATTTACATTATTACCTTAAATTTAAACATAGCTTCGGTACGTCATTAATTTTAATGCTCTTAATGGAAAATTCGAATTTGTGTTTGTATTTTGTTGAAGAAAAATGTATTGCATCCCCTCAAAAATAACTAAATTACCAAAAGAACAGATTTTCAAAATTTAGGCTTTTGCTACAAATAGCCTTTTCCTCGACTTATTTTCTCCATTCTCTTCTGTGTTATCTTGCATTCTTCGAAAAAACAAATCTCATTTTTCCGGTAAGAAAAATGATTTTCCTTATTTTTTCTTCTGTTATATTATTTTCTAATGAATTTCGAGGTTTTCTCTAAAAAATTTATGTATTTCGCGAAAAGAAAAAGACAGATTATTTGGATGTTAATAGTTTTTTTTTAATGCTATTCTTTTAAGCGTTATTTACCAATTCTTATTTTTAGTTTGCCTGATCAGTTAAAATTTTGATAAATCTGCAGTAGTTATAGGGTTTAAGCTAAAACGTGTAGCTTTTGCGATTTTTCTACAATTGGTTTGAGTTATTCTCTTATAGGAATTCAGTTTGATCCAGAGGGTTTTTGCTAATCTGAAAAAAAAAATGACAACTTTCATTTGGTCCTTTATTCAGGTCAATTATGGAAAACACATTCAAAACATCAGCATCTCAGACAGACGGAGAAATGAACAGAGAGCAGCTCACCTCCGCCGGCGCTGGCGTCACTCCGGCGACTGTTCCTCCTGCAGTTGCTCAGAACACTCACTCGTCCTTCGCTTCTCCGCCGCCCCGTGCGTACCCGTCGGCGGATCTCACCGATGCCGGTGCTGGCGTCACTCCGGTGATTGTTCCTCCGGCAGTTGCTCAGAACACGCACTTGTCCTTCGCTTCGCCGCCGCCCCGTCCGTACCAATCGGCGGAGAGAGCTACCGCTACCGGTGCTGCGCTGTCAAGTGTGAACTTGAATTCATCTGAACAGATGACAAAGAAGAGAGGGAGGCCAAGAAAGAACGGCCCAGATGGGATCGCGGTTNCGTGAATTCATCTGAACGGATGACAAAGAAGAGAGGCAGGCCAAGGAAGAACGGCCCACATGGGTCTATTGCGTTTGGTCCGATGGCAGCTGCTTCGGCATCCGCCGCCGTAACTCCGCCGCAAGGACCGGTTTCTTCTGCGGCTGCGCAGCCTGTATCTGAAGGGGGACCGTCGAAGAAACCCAGAGGCAGACCCCCTGGCTCTTGCAAGAAGCAGCGACGTCGAACTTTTGGTAAATCCCTATATTCTCTCATGTGTCAGTACTCCTATTAATAGTTTAGTTTAATGTTCTAATAAACACATGCACACGTGTCTTAGAATATAGACTAGAATGTTTGTTGGTTGGTTGACCTGTTCTTTTGTTTCCCAGTCGGGTTCAGTCCAAGTTTTGTTTTTTTATCTCTCATTTGTCATTTTTTTAGCTGGTATAAAACATATATATGGACGTAAAATATTGAGTATATTATATGTTGAGGACGGCAAAAATATATGTAAAAGAGTTGGGCTATGTCACCGCTTATAATTTGTAAAAATATTTTGTGTGTTATTTTCGGATCTCTTAAAAATAAAAATCTGTAAAACTAAAAAGAAATTTGAAAAGAGTGATAAAACCAATAAAATCTATTTTTGCAATCATTTTCTTTCTTTTTTGATCTTTTTTTTTTTACTCTTGAGAGTGACATGTCACACATTTCCCATACTGCTTTGGTTTATTCCAGCATCATTATTTTACGACTTTTGATAAAAAGTTTCAAATTGCAGGATCGGCAGGTTCTGGTTTTACAATTACACCTCATGTTATCACTGTGGAAAAAGGAGAGGTTACTTCGTTAGCCTTTTTGTTTTATTTCTTTAATGCCATGAAAGTCATCTTGATCCTTGAATTCAAATTTTCTGCAGTAATATTAAAGAACCAAAAGAGAGTAACTAATCAAAATAAATAAAAAGAACCCAAAAGAGTAACTGGTCCTCCAATGGAGAGAATTTTTTGTTTTTTATTTTCTTGTGAAAGGGCAGAAATAAACCATCTACAGATATCGTTCTTATATATAGAAAGATTTGAGTTGAGGTTAAAAATAATGATAACCAAGAACGCTTTTAAGAATATTGCATATTATAACTCTCTTTACAAGTTCTAGCAATACTTAAATGATTTTCTTTTTTTGATAAGTAGTACACCCCTAATATAATAGTAATAGTAACTCCATAATGGGGGCTCAATTTAACAATGTCTTTTAAATGGATAAAGGAGGATGCATTGAATTGAATACATTGCAGCTAGCGGACCAAGTAACCGAGGAAAAAGAAACTAATAAGGAGAAAGAATCTTTTTCAATGTCGCTGGCTTATTTATCAGCATACATATCCAAAATCTATTTGATCTTTGGATCTCGACGGTGTCTCAAATAAAACAATTCAGAGTAAAACTGCATACAATAGATCCTTGTGATCCGATCCTTTCCTAGACCCCGCACATAGCGAGAACTTAATGTATCGGGCTGCACTTTTTATAGAGATAATACATTCACTTATACAAGGAATTTGCTTAGAAGTCTACCAGAAAGAGTTACCCCATGTTACCGGTTTGTACTATTATTAGCTTGTTGGTTACTTTACGAAACTCTATATGTTAGCTAAATGGAGTAATAACTGTGAAAACCACACTCTTGGGGCTCTAATTAACAGATTTCGGCTAATTTATAGGTGATTTAGTACTTCTTGATCTAAGTCAAACTTTATCCTGAATGAGTATATGTAATGCCTTGTGATACAAGATGATTGACTTCTTTGTAACTACTTTTAGTTCTTCCATTAAAGTTTTGAGAGAGGTGTATGACATAAATATTTGAATTCTTGCTAGGGCCTTGTATTTGCATATCATAAATTGTAGTGGCGAATTTCAGATATTTACATTGCATGCATTAGTTATGATTTTACTAGTTTTTTATCATCTTTTTTTTCAGGACATAGCACAAAAAATAGTTTCATTTACTCGGCAAGGTCCAAGAACTGTTAGCATCATGTCTGGCTATGGTGTTGTATCCAAAGTGGTGCTTGTACGAGCTGCCACGACTGATGAAACTGTGACACATGAGGTTTTTTTCCCCCTGTATTGTTTTCCCATTTCGTATTGATTTAGTTTTTCATGGTTCCACTGTGCCCGCCTTAACACTCATTGAAAACCTTTTGATTTGTACTATGCACTTTAAATCTCTTTTATAGAGCGAGGAAATGGAAGTTCATCCTCATTGTAAATTTTCATTCAATTGTTAATACACAAAAAACAAAGTGGAATGAAAGCAAAAGATTCTTATAGGCAATACCAACTAGTTGGGATTGAGTCCTAGACATGTTAGTGTACTTGCATTACGTCCGGGATTTGTCAAGATTCCTTTTAGTTTGTCCAGAGATCTGCATATTAGTAGAAAATGCATAGAACTATAGGATCAGAGAACCCCTAATTTGTCTTAGAAATTAATTACCGAGTGCGGAGATGAAACATGTCAAATGAATATTTAGGAGTCATTTAAATTAAATATTGTGCAAATGGTGTCAAACACGAATTATAGAGTTTTGCACTTTGTACAAGTTACTTCTTTATTTCCCCTTCTTAGAATTTCAAAAGATTCATGCTCTGAATTTCTTGTGGAAGTGTCTGATTCCCTTGATGGCGGTTTTCCTCTTTTTTCTTTCATCACCAGATGGTTTAAGAAGTTTAGTTCTAGAACTTAATACTTTCCTTTCTGGTTTACCTTGAGAGATGGTTTAGGAGTTATTATTCTAAGACTTACTACATGTCTATTTCTTTATTCAGCTACATTCTACTTCTGCAATTTCAACACAGTTCATACGGATGTTAATCCAAATGTGTTCTCAACTCCTTTCTGTGTCCGAAGTTATGTGATGCATTTTTTCCAAATTGCACTTCTGCTGATTAAATGTGCGTCTGTTTTACTCTTCCAGTATGCTTATCCTAGATAAATTCATAGACTTGAGTACGTATGATGTTTGCCTCTTGTAGGGACAGTTCGATATAGTGTCTCTATCTGGTTCCTTCAGGGAATCCATAATTGGCGATGAGGATAGCTGGACGGGTGCAATAACCATATCTGTAGCTAGAGATGGATTGGTGTTAGGTGGTAACGTGATCGGTGATCTGACGGCTGCATCAACAGTCCAGGTTTGCATTCTTTGAAGCCTTTATGAAGTTTCAGCTTGTGTACTACTAAATCTGTGTTAGTTGGGGCAGGAACTTACGTAGATTAGGATGGGAAGATTTTCTTGTATTTTCTCTACATTGCACTTGTTCTTGTCCTTATCTTTGTGTCTTGTTCTTCTGTTTCTTTTCAAGTTCTGAGAATTATTCCCTTTTCACTAATGGAGTATTATTCTTTCTTCTGACAAAGAAAGTAATATTTGCATGTGCATCCTGAAAAGGTTATATTTCTTTGCTGAGTAGTGACTTTTCTAGCCCGGATTTCCTATCATATTTTTACCAAGAGCACTAGAAATAGATTGCCTTGACCTCACTGGATTTTAGGAAGTGCACTCAAACTCTCAAAGTAGTAATGATAAGCGTAATGCAGAGGCCAATGGCATGGTCCTGGAATCAATTCTGCCATCTTGTTTATTACTTTATTTATATTTTAGATATATATAACACATATTGAACACCTTTTGTCGGGAATTTTTTTCACTTCTTTCAAATTTAAATACCCTTGGGAAAATTACTAGCTTTGCGCCACTGCATATGTCATTGTTTGCATAAGCACTAATTTGATGGCTTCTGTTCTAGATTATTCTTGGCACTTTTGTTGAGGAGTCGGAAAGAGCCAATAGCCCACCAGCCCATGGGACTTTTAGCGAGTCGTTTGGGCGCCCAGGCAGCCCCCTCAATCATGGAGATTCCAACAATGCGAACATGCAAGGCATCTCAAACATGCCTTAGAAGTGAGTGCGTTCTGCTCGCTTCAGATACTGGACATAAATGATGCGTTCTGCATCATTTATCCCTCACTTTTAATGCTTTCGAAGTGGTTTTATTGATAAAAATATGTTTTGTGACTTAGTTATTGATTTTTAATGTTTAGGTTGCCAACAAATGTTAAAGGAAGCGAAGTAGAAAGATTTTGAACTGAATTTGAAGAAACAGAAGTAGTTCTGCACGCAGGCCTGAATTCTTGGCTATAAGCTGAGGGTATCTTTTGGAAAGCTTTATTTTCTGCTGCTATCTTTCAACTTGGACTTGGAAAAGAAGAGTTACCATTGAAAAGTGCTCCAGTCCTGATTTCACGGCTTGTTGAAGATTTTCTTCTTTTATGGATTCTTCTATGCTTTCTACTTCGGTTTTGTTTTGTTTGAACGTTTTTAGGCTAAGTTTTACATCTAATGTTTTGATGAAACTTTTTGTGTTGGATGATTCTTAAACAGTTCGTTGATTTTATTTATATAATTAAATGTTTTGCAATATTTCATGCCTTAGTTCTCGTTTATACTTGGAAAAGATTTACATGATTTTGGACAGCTAATTATCATCACCTCGGGTTAAGGCATTTGTATACGGTTAAAACCGAGCCCACCCAATTTTACTATTTGATCGAGACTGGGAGGTTGCATCGAAGAATGGCCTCGCAACAGAACAGACTAAATCACGAGGATAATGTACCGAGTTCAGAATCGAGGTACCTGTCGAGATCGAGGCTAGTAGCGATCGAAGCCAAATGAGACAGACATCGAGCAAGATCGAAGATAGCACAATAACAGAAAGGCGAGATATCCGCGACTGGTCGAGGATCATGGCGTAAATCTCGAAACGGATCAAAGCAGAAACGGTTAATTAATTAATCATGAGATTTTCTTCTGTAATTAGAATTATCCCATAAAGTGGAATTCCTCTACTATTTAAAGGGGGGTTCTAATCATTTGGAAGACACATGGTTCACAGATATCAAAGCAATATAATTCTCTTTCTCGTTTATACTATTGTTCATCAGCTTGTTATATTTTAATTGTTCTACATCAACCAGTTCGAGGGTATCCAAACTTGAGGGCTGAGTTCCATTCTAACACTGGTTTGCTTTACTTTATAGTTCATTTCTGTTATTAATTTTCATATTTATCAATTGGTATTAAGTGAGATCACGTGTCCTTAGAACCACATTATAAGTTTAATTGTTATCCAATTTTAAGGGTAAACAGTTTGGCGCCCACCGTGGGGCTGAGGATAATAGTGATTGCTTAATACTGATTCCGATAACACACACTGCTTTACACTTGTTCTCGTAAGAATCTTTGTTTTCAGGATAAACATGTCAAACTCACAAGCAGTGCCTACACATGGTGACGACGACCTCAGATTCCATGGGGAAAATGACAATATAACCGCCCCAGGGATCGAGGCGCCTCAGGCTGACCTCGAGGGAGCACCAATTGCAAATCCCATCAATGTCAATTCACATGTCGCCCTAAATGCAAATTTGGGCGTTGATCCCGAAGGTAGCATATGCAGGGAAGTTCAATCAGGTGGTCGAGGTATGTAGGGCGGAGAAGATGGCGGAATTTTCCTCCAATTGATATTCGAAATGTTACAGGCTCAACAAGCCGTTATAGCACAACTACAAAATAAGCATCGAACACCGAATAGGACCGAACTAGAAATCGTCCACACGACCGAGCCTGTGCCGGAAAGGTCGAACGCCAACGAATCGGGGACTGACCCTGCCATTATGAAAATGCTCGAGGAGCTCACTAAACGGATTGAATCGGGAGAAAAGAAAATCGAGGAAAATGACAAGAAAGCAGAGACATACAACTCCCGGGTTGACCAAATACCCGGGGCACCGCCGATTCTAAAGGGTATGGATTCAAAGAAATTCGTACATAAGCCTTTCCCTTTAAGTGCGGCTCCGAAATCCATTCCGAAGAAATTTCGAATGCCAGAAATTCCTAAGTACAATGGGACCACCGACCCTAATGAGCATGTCACTTCTTATACATGCGCAATAAAAGGGAATGACTTAAAAGACAATGAGATTGAATCTGTTCTACTGAAGGAATTTGAAGAAACCTTGTCGAAAGGAGCAATGATATGGTATCACAATTTGCCGCCTAATTCCATCGATTCCTTCGCCATGCTTGCAGACTCCTTCGTAAAGGCACATGCCGGAGCAATAAAGGTTGCGACTAGGATGTCAGACCTCTTCAAGGTGAAACAAAAAGACAACGAAATGTTGAGGGAATTCGTATCTCAGTTCCAGATGGAAAGCATGGAACTATCACTAGTCACAGACGATTGGGCTGTTCAAGCCTTTACTCAAGGTTTGAACGAACGAAGTTCGGTGGCATCACGACAGCTAAAGAAGAATTTAATTGAATATCTAACAGTAACCTGGGCCGATGTACATAATCGGTACCAGTCAAAGATCAGGGTCGAGGATGATCAATTGGGGACCCCTTCCGGTTCCGTTTATCCAAACATGCTCGTCGGCAGAACTCAAAGGGATATCGACAGAGAACCTCGGTCGAACAGAGATTGGTATCAACCATACAACGCAAATCGTAGAAACAGCGGCCCATGACGCAATCCCACCCGGAATGATCGAAGGAACGATCGAGGACAGAGCTCTCGAGGGTTCATGAGCAAAAGTGGCTTCGATAAACATGCTGATCCCACATAAGCACCACGATTATCAAAATACAACTTCAGCATCGACGCATCAGGTATTGTGTCAGCCATTGGGAGAATCAAAGATACTAGATGGCCCAAACCCCTACAAACCGATCCATCCCAAAGAAACCCCAATCAAATATGCAAATACCATGGTACACATGGTCATAGAACCGAAGACTGCAGACAACTAAGGGAGGATGTGGCCCGTCTATTCAATAAGGGTCACCTTCGAGAATTCTTGAGCGACCGAGCTAAAAACCATTTCAGAGAGAGGGACACAAACAGGAAAAATGAGCAGGAAGAACCATATCACATGATTCACATGATCGTTGGTAGGGTCGATATTCCACAAGGGCCCATGTTCAAACGCACTAAAGTATCAATCATCAGGGAAAATCAAACTTGAGACTATGTGCCAGAAGGCACTTTATCATTCAATGATGAGGAAGCAGAAAGGATCTCACAACCCCACAACGATGCTTTGGTAATCTCTATCCTTATGAATAAAATTCAGGTTAAACATGTTTTAATTGATCCAGGAAGCTCGGCCAATATTATTCGATCGAGGGTCATGGAGCAGCTCGACCTACAAGATTAGATCGTACCCGCAGCTCGGATTCTCAATGGCTTCAACATGGCGAGTGAAAAAACTAAAGGTGAAATCATTTTACCAGTAAATATTGCCAGAACTATTCAAGAAACAAAGTTCCATGTGATCAAGGGGGATATGAGATACAAGGCACTGCTCGGAAGACCCTGGATTCACAACATGAGGGCGGTTCCCTCAACCCTTCACCAAATGCTGAAGTTCCCAACACCGGATGAAGTAAAAATGGTGTATGGGGAACAACATGCTGCCAAAGAGATGTTCGCGATCGACGAAGTAATTTTGGTATCGACGCTTTTGTTAACAAAGGGATCAGAGTCCAAAGGAAAATAGGAAGCTAAATAGCAACCACAGCCACCAGCCTCGACTCAGTCGGAGAAGCAGGGAACGGATGAGGACGATGACTACTGGACCCCTCGATCCTTCATAATCTCCGAGGATTCCGACGCCACCAAATCGATAGTCGAAGAGCTGGAGAAAGTCATACTGATCAAGCATCTACCCGATCGAAAGGTATACTTGGGTACGAGGTTAACCCCCGGGATTAGGGAAAAACTCATTAAATTTCTTATCAATAATATGGATTGTTTTGCTTAGTCCCACCTAGATATGACAGGGATTCCGCCGGAGATCACTACACATCAACTGAGCCTAAACCCGAAGTTCTACCCAGTAAAACAAAAGATAAGGCCCCAGTCCGAGGTAAAACATGTATTCATCAAGGACGAGGTAGCCAAACTTCTCAAAATAGGATCCATTCGGGAAGTAAAATATCCCGAATGGTTAGCAAACGTAGTCGTAGTCACTAAAAAGGGAAATAAACTTAGAATGTGCGTAGACTATAAAGATTTAAATAAAGCATGTCCTAAAGACTCTTTTCCTCTGCCAAATATCGACCTCATGATCGATGCCACAACCGGCCACGAGATCCTTAGTTTTCTCGATGCCTACTCCGGGTACAATCAAATATAAATGAACCCGGAGGATCAGGAAAATACTTCATTCATCACTAAGTACGACACCTATTGTTATTATGTAATGCCATTTGGACTAAAAAATGTTGGCGCCACTTATCAACGCTTAGTAAATCGAATGTTCAAAGAACAAATAGGTAAATCAATGGAGGTTTATATTGACGATATGCTAGTTAAGTCCCTGCGAGCAGAGGACCATTTGACACATTTGCAGGAGACCTTCGATATACTAAAGAAATACTACATGAAACTCAACCCGAAAAAATATGCATTCGAGGCCAGCTCGGGCAAGTTCCTCGACTTTATGGTATCAAATCGGGGGATCGATCAACCCAGATAAGAGCAAGGCAATCGAAGACATCACAGTCGTGGACATTGTTAAGGCCGTACAAAGATTAATAGGGCGCATACCCGCCCTAGGCCGATTCATATCGAGGTCTTCAGATAGAAGTCACAAGTTCTTCTCACTGCTCAAAAAGAAGAACAATTTTGCGTGGACCCCGGAATGCCAACAAACGTTGGAAGAATTAAAGCGGTACCTCTCGAACCCGCCAGTGCTTTATACTCTGAAAGCGGACGAGCAACTCTACTTGTACTTAGCAGTCTCGGAAATCGCGGTAAGTGGGGTCCTAGTTCGAGAAGTGCAAGGTACGCAATTTCCTATTTACTATGTTAGTCGAACTTTAGGTGAGACCGAGACCCGGTACGCACACTTAGAAAAATTAGCGCTTGCCCTAATATGCGCCTCTTGGAAATTAAAAACATATTTTCAGTGTCACCCGATCTGTGTGGTGACTACTTATACCCTTCGCAATATTTTGCATAAGCCCAAACTTTCGGGCCGATTGGCCAAATGGGCCGTCGAGATCAACGGGTATGATATCGAGTATCGACCCCGAACGGCCATCAAGTCTCAAATCTTAGTGGACCTCGTGGCCGACTTTATGCCAGCCCTCGTACTCGAGGTCGAAAAGGAACTATTATTAAAATTGGGTACATCATTGGGGGGTGGACCCTCTTCACAAACGACGCTTCGAACGTGAAGGGGTCCGGACTATGCATCGTTTTGAAGCCGCCCACGGGTAATACAATTAGATAAGATATCAAAACTTCCAAGTTAACTAACAATGAGGCCGAGTATGAGGCCATGATTGCAGGTCTCGAGCTAGCTAAA